AACTGAGTGGGAAAAAATGGCATAAAATAGAGTTAAAAGAAGAGAGTGTGAGATAAAAGGGACAAGGAGATATTAATAAATAGATAAACCCAGAAGCAGGAAAACATAAAAAGAAAGTGATGAATCAGTTATGAGAAGGACCAGAATAAAAATGAATAGAGGATGAAAGAGAAAGAAGCAAAAGATGCACATAGGTGGAAGAGTGGTTGCAGAGAGGAGATGGGTGAACTTAAATATCTAGGTTCTCTTCTGATTTTTCTTTTTTTACTTTTAAGAATAAAGCATAAATGCTAGAAGTCCCCAAAGCACAATATATATGCGGAGCTGCCAATGTTAACGGTGATATAGAATTAGGTGCAGGATTGATACGGACCCATAATTTGCGGTCCATCAACTTTGGCATCACCTGGGAGACTGCCAGAAATGCAGAACCTCGGGTACCACATCAGACCTCCTGGATCAACGTGCAGTTTAACAAATCCCCAGGTGACCCCTATATACCATCAAATCTGAGAAGTGCTCACGCAGATATTTGAAATGCACAGAGCGCTCCCACATCTCAGAGGAGTCAGTGGTGTGGTAGCCAGAGCACTGGCACTAAAGCAGCTTACACAACTTTAAGCAAAAAACTCAGTGTCCCTGGATTTCAGCTTCTTCATCTATTAAATGAGGTCAGAGTAGATGCCTTCTGAAGTGTCACAGAGCTCTGACATTCTTGATGTCATCTAGCATCATGACTTCAAACTGTTCCTATACCCGTGAGAACAAACAACAAATAGCATCATCTACTAATTAAATATTTCACTTCCTCTCTCCATTCATTCATTTAATATGTTTAACTATCTATTATGCGCCAGTCACTATGCTAAGTCCAAATGATTCCAAATGGAAAAAACATCCCTCCCTGCCTTTGAGGAGTTTACACGCTTCTTAAAGAAACAGGGCATGTAAACAAAATTAGGACAAAGTGTACTGATGACCACAAACAGTGCTGGTGATGTGCAGAAGGCAAAGCAATTATTTCGCTTGGGGCAGTCATGGAGGATTTCAACAAGCGATCAACATGTGCTCTATCTAGGTCCCTTCTCCGCCAATCTCAGCTGAAAGCACTAGAATGTGAAAAGACAAAAATAGGGTTGGTTGGAGAACAAGAAGAAACCAACCAAAGGTTCCTGAACACACCTCTCTGGGTTCACAGAACCCCAAGAACCCATCCACTCAGTGGATCTTGTGGAATAGCCACAGACCATTAACAGCCAAGGGGAAATCTCAGACACCTACCTCCCCAGAGTGATGCCTGCTCCCTCATCTGTCCTTCCATCCTCTGCATCCCTCCAAAAGACAGTATCAACTCAACCTCTCCTTGACTCTCCCCAGGGACATTTTTGTGGTTGCAAAGACGGGATGCACTTTAATAAATGCGAACAATTCATTAGACCAGTAACTCTTTTGATCTATATTTATTTACCGAGATCCGACTGTACAAGCAGTGCCAGAGACTGAAAATGCAGTTTACTGAAAGGGTGAAGTTTCTAGAATTCCTAAGGAGGGTATAGGAGGCAGTGAGGAAAAGGAGCTTATTCACTCCTGACCCCAACACGTTACAGGGGATGAGTTGTTTCGTCAGCCCCAGGCTTCACCGTGAAGGAGAGGTTATCACTCAGAACAATAGTTTTTCAACCTTTAGAACTGTGTTTCACCCTGGTTCCTTTCCCATCCCTGGCTTCTACAGGCTGAATTTTTATTTTTGCTATGGTTTCTTCAGAAATATTAACAACATTTTTGCTTTAACCTGCTAGTGATAGTGGACATGTCACCTTATTCTTGAGTATGAAAACAGGTGGAGAAACCCTACATCCTGAGTTCATCATATTCATGGAGAAGATGGGAGATGTTTTACAAGGTAGCAGTGCTGTGGCCAAGGGTTGGGTCTGTTCACTCCTTTCTCCCTGTCAAGAACCACTCATCCCACCAACAAATTTCAGTCTGTGTGTCCACCTCCCAGGTGCCCACTGTCCCCTCCACACAAGGTGTGGAGGTGTGTTAGACGTGAAGGTCAAGGAAGATTGTCAAGGTTCGGAGCCATCTTTCCGGAGGTCAGGCAGGAATACAAAATCAAGGCGCCTGCTGTTCCTCCCTTCACCAGAGGAAGTCACTCTTCTCGCTCAGCCTAAGAGAAAGGCACTGGGTGTGCAAAGTAGTGACTAGAGAAATTTTTTTCTTCCTTCTCCTTTTCTGGCATTTTCTCTCCTTGGTTATCCTCTTTATCGACATCCACCCCTGTCATAAATTACATACAAACCGTGGCAAAGCAAGACTCTTTGCTTAGACAGGCTTCTGAGGGATGGCACCAATGGGGAGGAGAAATGAGCAATCCAAGGGCACACGCCCTGCTCCTCTCCTGGCGTGTTAACATCTATCTCTCAGATGCCACATCATTCTGTGTTCACGGATCCATCATGCTTTGCTACACCTGAAACACCAGAACCATGCTGTTCTGATTTCCTTGAAATCACCAATATCACATTCTTAACCGTGCTTTCCTGGGAAGTCTTTATTTCCCATTAATTTTTTCTTAATTGTACATCATGAAGGCTCCTGATTAAAATTAAATTTGCTCTTTCTCCCTCCCACCAGCAGCCACATCTCCTGCCCACGGAGCCCACACTGTAAGGGGAGGGGACAGAAAGACAGCAGACGAGCTAGAACCCAGCCAGCTCTTTGTGCTATGAGGGAAAATGGAGAGAACAATGGCCCTGAGACAGCCCAGAACACACGGAGCCCCAGGAGGTCCGCTCAACAGCACAGGAACGCCTTCCTCCTCCCCAGGGTCTCTAAAATGGCAGCGGGTGGGGAAAGGCCCAGACCACCTGTGGTGACTCCTCCTAGAATCCTAACAAGCTCTTTCCAGCTGGCATTCCATTCTTTTCTCTTTGTAGCTTTCCCATAACCTGGCCCTCCTCTTCCTCAGCACCCTCCTCTTTAACCTCTTGTTCTTTGCCTACTCTTGGGGCCAATTAATAGGGGCTAATGGGGGCCTGGAACCTGGGCTTAACCCCATTAGCAACCAAGACAAATGTGGCAGAGACTCTGTCCAAAGGAGTTTTGTCACCAACAAACATGACGCAAGACCTACTCAGTGTAGGTCACCCTGGCAGGCACCGGGACTGCAGAGGAGGGTGTGTGCCCTTGGGTCCCCCACCCTGCCTTGCTCATCTGTAGCTATGAAATCACCACACATGGATCTGCACCTCGCACCCATGTCTCTGTTCTATTTTGAAGTAATTTTAGGAGTTCCTCCTCCCACTTGAAGGAATAGAAGCAGATGGGGAACCAACTCAGGTGCCTCTAAGGTGAGCACACATCAGATAACCTCAGCTATTTGTGGACATGAGGAGAAGATGGTTCAAAGTGGGAGCTCACCCTCTCACTCTGATGACACCATGGTTACAGACTGGTGGCTAAGCAATAAACATTCAAAAGAATAAAACCTGGGGGAGGGGAGTTAGGAGGGTAGATCGATATATCCATCCTTTTTGGACAATGAGGAACTATCTTCTTCTGTGATACTGAGAGATGAGGACCTTTCGCTACTTCTCCTACATCCCTTCAGTAGTTCAGATTATTTCAAAGTATTAGTGTAAAAAAAAAAAACGCCAGGAAAAAAAAAGATTTGGGAGGAGAATACTTTAACAAAGAGTATTGTTACTTATGTTTCTGCTACATTATTGTGAAGATCCTTATCTCAATCTGATTGCTGCATTTGAGTGCCTTCAGAGTTGGAGATATATGGCCCATGGACCAAGGACAGGAGCAGCCAGCTCACCATCATGGCCCTCCAGCACATGGCTATTCCGATTTCCTCGGGAGTTGTCTTGGATTACATGAGTGACTAGCTGAAGAGTCAGTCATTAGCTAAGTCTTTTCCATTTCTCCTGCTATTTCGCTTTTCTAGTACATGAAAATACTGCCAAACTACATTTCACATCTTTTAAAAAATGATGAGAGGGGAAAAAATTAAAGTATTAATTCTATCCCGAGAGTACAAGACTAACCCATGCAAATGGCACATCTCTTTGTTTAACACAAAGGCTCACGTGTCGAATTCTGCACCCCTTCCACATGCACAGCATTTTAGAACTCTGCAAGATAGCCATTTTGCAAGAGTGGGGAAGTAACAGTTTGCTTGGAGGATGTGTGGGTATAAATAGATGTGTAGACAGAAGGAGAAATCTACAGCTCAAAAATAATAGCACACACAAAAAATACAAAGTAGAGGCAGAATATTGACAGAATTCCGTCTTTCCAAGCTCCAGATTTAAGTCCTCTTAACCTGCAGAATCCGTCAATTCCAGGTGTTCCCAGACCAGCCGGATTCCCCACCTAGACCTGTCCCTCTGCAGTAGGCCTCCCGGGATCTCTGGGCCCAGTGGCAACCCCTCAGACAGCAAGTGGACTTCAGGGCAATAGCCACAGTCATCTCAGTCATTACCTTCATTTTTTAAAGGGCACGGAAAGGATGCCTAGGCAGGTAGAGACAGGAGACAGGGAGAGGCATGGAAGTGGCAAGGGGAAAGCCAACCTGGGGAATGAAAAGATTTCTAGATTCCCATAAAAAAAAATCAGAGCTTTAGCACTGGATGAATAATATGATATTTAACTCGAAAATCACACAGGTTTCCCCGTCATGTCTACATATAAAAAAGCCTTATGCCATCCAATATACTCTGTTCCCACAGACATCCACCCCCCACTGCCTCCTCAAACCCCAAAACCTGTTTGATGAGGAAGGAAAAGAAATAACATGGGAGATTTCCCCCTTTGTAATAAGCCTCTTTCCCCAAACAGCATTATTTGAATATCGTGTTACCTTTTCCTCCCCAAAATCCACTTGAGGGACTTGAAGAGAAATAAACAAGGAATCCCTTACCCCAGGTGAGGAGCAAACACAATAGAACGTGCCTTACCTTGGTTTGTAGAAGCCAAACCTCTAGACGGTCGGGTTAAGGGAGTGAGCATGTTGGGAATGTCCAGTCTCCTCTTCTCGCTTGCATATCCACATAAGAAAGACGAAGGGTAAATAAAAGGAAGATAATTTAAAATCCAATTTAGCGTGAATTTTGTTTTAATCTTGTGTCTTGAAGAGATCACATTCAAAGGAAAAAGATTGAATTCAAAGGCAAGTCAGGGTATGGAGAGCAGCTCACAATGCAGAATCCAGAGTAATTATTCCGTTTGCATGTGAGGTTAGTGGCTGGGCTATTTTTTTTTTAATGATTCCTCTGGCAATTATGTTTTTTTTTTTTATTTTTGGAGCTTTAGTAGAGGAGGCTCTGTGTGGAGATGCTGGGGGCCGGCTCTGTCCCTCCGTGGAGCATGGTCATTCCCAAAGCGTCCCCTTCCTAAGGGGGAAAAAGAGGCGGTCAGGGTTTCATTCGAGTGTCCCCCGGAGGGTGAGAAAAATGCTTTCTGAAAAAGATATCAATTCGTTTTAAGGAAAAGGGGGTTGGAAACCCCGCATTTCCCACAGAGTGCACACGAGAGGAATTGAAAACAGCTGGCACCGGTCTATAAATAATTCAGAAAAGGTCTGGCTATACCATTCCTGGGACAGGCATGGATGAGAGGTGGGAAAGCCAACCTGAATGGAAGCGGAGAGAGGGCGGGAGGGAGGAAGCGAAGGAGGGAAGTGGGAAGGAAGGAAGCAGGGAGAGAGAAGCGGCACCACATAGCAACACACACTCACATACACGCGCAGAAACACCATCCCCACTTAACTCGCCAGCAAGTGCGGCCCCCAGCCCCATCTGCATTGCTGCTGACATGTCTGTCTCGCTCTCCCCATCGCCTGCAGCAGCAGCGTCCTCCCACCCCGGGCTTGTGCTGAATGGGTTCTGATTGTGCACGGGGTGCACACTGGGCATTTCTTGGAAGGGGCACACTGACACGCGCGCACACACGCCCCCGCCGCGCACGCGCCCCCGCGCGCGCACTCACAATCACCCCCCGCGCACACTCACCCCCGCGCACACTCACGCCGCCGCGCTGATGTGCGGCACACGGGGCTTCACCTGCAACGTGTCGATTGGACGGATGGTCGCGGCGCGTGGCTCCGGCCCCGGCCACCGATGTCCAGCCTCTTTCCTCAGGGAAGGGTTTAACGCCCCCCACCTCGACACACACAAAAAAGACCAGAGAGAGCCCTACCCTTTCACCCTAAAAAGACATCTTTTTTAAAAAAAAAAAATCACGTCCAAATTAGCAAGTGCCAGGTTCTGCTGAATTCAAGAGCTTTACCTTAAATACCAGGTTGTTTGGTGGTGCCGTTGCTTCGACCCTTTCTCTTCCCGACACCTCAAACCCCAAAATTCACACGAGACTCCAAAGCGAATACTTACGTACCGGCTGTGAGCGCTCAGCTATTGCAGAGTCTCCGGAGAGGGGTGGCCAGTGGCCGGGGATTGAGGGTTTTCCTTGCCTAATAAGCAGGATTAAAAATCCGTCTCCAGGGTTTTGAAGTTCACGACTCTTCTTTGAAAAGCACAAGAAAATGCATTCGAATGCCAGCACTTCTGGATTGTGGTGATCAAAAATCACCCAGACGAGCACTTTCGATAGAGCAAAGCCCCGAGATTTCCTAGAGGTGAAGAAAGCGAAGGAAGTGGTTTTTGAAAGGGGGTGGGGGAACCTTCCTTTCTCAAAAAAAAGGGGGGGGGAGGGGGAAAGAGGCAGGAGCCGAGATCCCAGTTGGTGATGATCGGAGCCGGGGGAGGGGAAGCGGGCGGGGGCAGGCTCTGCAAGTAAAGCTCACGGCAGCAGGAGAGGAAAAGGAGGGAAGGAGGAGGGGAAAGTAAGAAAAATGGGTATTAATCACCAGGGGTGGGGTGGGGGCAGGGCAGAGGGCGAGATCACAGGTTGCCTGATCTGGATTTGGGTCTCGCACTTAAAAACATGCCACACACACACACACACTCCCCTACCTACCTCTCACACACTGGCTCTGGTGGGAAGAGAAACCCACGAAACCATGGAAGATGTTTCTGCTCCCAGGGTGTGTGTGTGCGCGCGCTTGTCCTCGCTCTCCACACCCCCCACCCCACCCCACCCCCAAACCCCTTCACCCCCTCACTCTTATTGCTGAGACTCTGGCAGAGGCAGCTTCCCACGTCATGTGCTGGGGGAAATGGGGTAGGAATGGGGGTAAGGCTTAACTCGAGGCCGTGGCGCCTCCTGCTGGCCGTAGCGGCCAACAGCAATGAGGAAGGGCTGCTAAGGGGCTGGGGTTCAGAGCCAGTGCCCTCCGTGCGGGCCTCTGGGCTTCAGAGAGCATCTCAAAGACAGAGATGCAGTTTAAAATGTTAAAACTCTTGCTTTATGTTGCATAAATCAGCCTATACTCCGTACGTGCATCCAGTACACTAAGTACAGTTTTCAGGCCAGGTTCTTGCCTTCAAGGAGCTTAAGATCTATTTTGAGCACATAAGGTTGAAGCATAAAACAATGGGAAACAAAGCAAGGTAGATGTAATTAAGGGCTACATTGTATAGTGCAGATCACGTGTGTCCTTTGCTGACTGCTAGTGAAAGTTGGAGGATTTCGGTATTCTTTATTGGATTCTGTTATTTAAAAACCATAAGGAAAGATGAGACCGGTGAACAATCCATAAATGAAACTAGATTTCATGACATTTACAGCCCCACCCTCTTGTAAAGGGAAATATCCATTCATTCATCTCCCTCTTAAGCTGTTTATTATTCTAATAGCACACACCACTACCTGTAGTACTGTTTATTTTCAATATTAATATCATTGTGGATGCATCATTCTCATTTGATACATTGTCTCTTCAAAGATCCAAAATATCACAGTGGTGGAACATTTTCAAATGTTACATCATGAGCTTCTCATCAACCTTCCTGAGAAGCAGTCGTAAACATACAGGTAACAATCCTGGGTGGAGTCATTACCCCCAGCAGCTTGACGTTTTGGTCTTTGTGGGACATGTCAGATGTGTGTAGCAGTCCTGTAGACCAGACGCAGTCACAGCGCATCGAAACTATTTCATGTTTTCTAGGTTTCATTAGTCTGAATCTTTGTATCAAAATCTTTAAGGCACACACAAATACATTATTGTTACATAAACACACGAATACAGTGCTCATGTGCAAACTGTTCGGTCTCAGTAATGGTATTGCTGTTTTTCTACCATCGGGTGAGGCTGATCTTCCACCTCTTTGGAGAACTGCAGCGCCACCCCAGAGCTGCTGTGCCCCCTGGTACACAACAGCCGACACCAGCCCCTGTATATGCAGATTTCCAGTTGTCAAAACATGAATTCCAGGAGGAGTAAAGGGTGCAGAGAGCAAGGGCCCCATGTTTCCTGAAACATTTTTTCTTGAGTCTTCCAAGACTGCCCATTACCTTCGGAATAAAATCCAAGTTCATTTCAAGAGATGGCCTTTAATCCATTTTTTTAACCTCATTGCTCACATTCCCCTTCCTATCCCAATTCCCTTCACCAAAACTGCACCCTTCTTTTCTGTTTTCTTTTCTTTTCTTCCCTTTCTGGACCCAGCAGTTCCATTCCAGCCCATTCACTTTTGCAAGTGTAGAGGAAAGAATGAACTCTAGATCCCTCTCCCTAATAAGTCCACACTCTCCTTTAGTTCCCAGCTCAAGTCCCACTTCCTCTAAGGTATTTTTAGTCAACCAAGACTGAACTGATTTCTCTGACAATTTAAAGAATTTTTAAATGAGATGGCACCTCACTGCCATCACCCTGACTCCCACCCCCTGCATCTGGGAATGTGTAGAAGAATTTGCATGGTCAGCTATCAAATGATTGGGTGATGCTACTGGCATGCATGGTCCAGACACCAGAGACACTGCACATACATACCTGCATTATAAAGAACTGGCCCCAAGAAAAACAATGCTTCCATAAACTGTTCATGCTGAACCATATGAAACTACTGGTATTCAATCATGTGAAATTGCCAATCATAATTGCCATCATTGGCCTGTAATAAAATGGCAATTTCATAAAATTAAACCCAAAATTGTATTCTTATGTATGTAATGTATATAGATAGACCTGCTAGGTTGTCTGTTGGTTCTCAACCTCTGAAGTTCCCAGGGTGAAATTTTAAATTGGTCACCATACACAAAGGGCAAGTAGAGACCAAAGAAAGAAGGAAGGTCACTCCAAACTGGTAGGTGGCAGTGTTAATAAGCAAGGAAACTTTCGTACAAGGCTTGTCTTGGGCAGTTGCAACACAAATGCACTAGATCTCTGCTCCCACCCACAGGAATCTTAAGAGTTTATAGAGAGACCTTATCAGGGTTCAGTCACGTATATAGTCAGATGGTCTCAACAATACCTTACTTTCTCTGCTTCTAGTACAGAAACACTGGGCAGAATGTACATTCCAAGGACAAGGAAGGAGGTAAGGAGCCTCAAACCATCTAGGTCCAGCCCTCGGGGTCAACAGATGGTAATGTGTTTTCAATGACCTCCTCCAAAATGGGACATTTCTAGACATGCTATGGAGTCTCAATAAGTATTAAGACTTTTAAATGACTATTAGACACTACTTTCCCAAGCAGTCTTGCTGATTTTGGAAGAGCTAATGCTCAGGACCATGCAGCTTGTGAGTGGACGGTGATAGCTCTTCTCCGTGGTGTCCATTGCCAATCGCCCATTCCATGGGAGAAGACCTCTCTCCTTGTTTCTCAGTCTCCTGTAACTCAGTTGCACTTCTCATGAACAACCTTTGCCTCCAAGGGCCACAAACATTTCAACAAAACTGTTTTCAAGTAACACCCAGGTTCACAAAATTGGAAACACCATTTCTCAATATTGCCAATATGTATTTTCTAACTCCTAGTCAGTCAGCATAGAAAGCAATATTTGAACAAGATAGGGCATTGGATTATATTCCACAGCATTGTTTATTGAGGGAGGAACTCTTACCCAGGCTGCTGGTGACACTGGTAAAACTATTCTGCTCGCTCACTTGACGCAAAGATCTATGGCCCAATCAGCAGTTGCAAAGCCCATGTCTTGCTCAACAAAAAAAAAATTGTATTTTTTCACATCTTTCAGATGAAACACTGTTACCAAAGAATAGGGCCTAAAACTTACAATTTGGGGGCTCTCTCTAAAGAAAAGAGTAAAAAATTTTATGTGAAACTGAATATTTACTTAAAACTAGAAGTAAATCACAATTAAAAATTATTGATACTTATGCTACAAAATTTTTACTTAAATGATAAAAATTTTTGTTAGTTACTGCCTGACTCTTCTTAATACTTATTTTTGTATATTTTTTACTTCATATTCTTAGAACACCTCTTCACATTATGATTAATAATATAATTTTCTATGTAAATAATAGAAAGAATTCAGTCAGTTCTTTACATGATTACTCAAAATTGTTTTTCATTAATGATCACTTAGAAAAATGTCTTCACTTATTTGGTAGTATTGCAATTTTTATTTTTTTAAATTGTCAAATTAGAAAAAAACTTTATCAAATTTCTCTTATATATAAATAGTAAGGTTTTAAGGATCTCAAGTTTTCTACATAGTGACTAATCTTAAATATCACATAAATTGAGGACAGTCATTAACCAGTTAACAATGTATTATAAGTTTTACATTATCTTCATTAACGTCAGAAATTTGTCTCAAGCCAGAAATTTAAATCTTTTCCCAATGTGTTCATATGATTCACTCCTCTTCATTAACTGGACTACCAAACAATCCAGAAGCCTGTTCATTACTCCTATTCAAAATTTCTCTGTTCTTCTTAAAGAATTACAGTTTTCGTATAATTTGGGGCAAAAATGTTGCAACTTGTCCCTCAATGTCAGGCTGATTTCTATTGATTGTCAGTATTACTCTTTATCTTTTTTGTTTGTTTCATATTCCATTAACTAGTACCTAAATTTCTTCTTGGTTCTTTAACACATAAATGTAGATAATAAAAGAAGGGACTCTTCACATATGTTCCAAGCAACACTCTGTATTATCTCACTTGTTTTATGAAAATATACCAAAAGTTTTTTTTCCAAATTACACATAAAAAGGCACAATCAAACTTTCCCAACTCTTTGAATGTACTTTTTTATACCCCTGTGTTCAGGTTTCTCTTCCCAGCCTATAACAAACTTCAGAGCCTTAGTGTTGATGTGCTCATGTTACAAAGGTTGAGCAGCTTTCTGATGGGAAATATTCCAATTTGATTCTTTTGAGAAAATTCTAAATTGTCATGTATTCTCTTGGTGAGACAGATCTGAAAGGGGAAAAAAGAGGTGTTACAAAATACAAAATTGGTCAACAACTTCAGGTAAGCTGGAGGCAGCTTTTTCTCCAACTAGATAAGGGAATGTCCCACCGAGCACGTGTTCTGTGATACTTCTGTGTCACAGTGCTGGGTGAGTGGGCACAAGGGGCAGGTGGAGTTTATCGGGAGCTTTCCCCTCATTGGGTCAGCTGGCAATAACTTCACTGTACAGGAAACTGATGGGAAGACACACAAATATATCTTACTAAACCCAAATGAAATTATTCCCAACTCAACTGCCCCTTAGCTTCATCTCAAAAAGTGTTCACTGCCACTCCAAAAACACCCAGTGTGAGGGAAAATCAGATAAAAGGAGTTGGAGTGGAGAGAGACAGCAATTGTAAATGATGGCAATTAAAATAGGCTACGCTTGCAGGTTTTTCTAAAACATTGAGACACATTATTTGGGCCTCTCCCATCGCCTTAGAAAGTACTCTAAGTGAGGGGCTAGGAATCTGAAGCTGCATTAGCTTCAAAGTCACTCTGCCTCTGCTTGTTACCTCATGTAAAACAGGCTTCCTGGTTTCCAGAGAAAATATTTGAATGTTTTTATCTTTGAAACAATAATTTGTTAAAGGCTCAGTTGACAACATGCATATTAATGCCTTCTGCTGAATCCAATCCATCTTCTTTTGCTTGCAGTTCCTGGAGTGCACAGGAAACATAGGCAGAGCATTCAATTTTAATAACTTTCGTAAGCATACTAAGAGTCTACCATCATTACTCTTTTAAAAGAACCTTTATTTTGTTCTTATCATAATGATATTAATTATTCAATGCGGGCAGTCTTTTTTCAAAGTTAAACAACCTCCATTCCCTTGTCTGAAGACCTGCTCATCCTCCAACAATGAAAAAGCCATCATTAACCACTGCGTCCTATTGAGCCGTTTGTGTCCATTGTAACAGTATACACTTCTAGACATTTGCATTGTGTACTCAGAAAATCATTTCTTTAATACTTCCCCAAATGCACCATTTTCTTTTGAAAATTACACAATGAGGACAGAAGGAAGGAGAGAGAGACAAGAGGAATAAATAAGACTTTCAGAGAAAAGAGTTATTGAATCTAGAAAGTAGGTGATATAAGATGTGATGTGGTAGTAAGTGCTCTCTGTAACAGAGAAAGGGAAGAATTTGCATCACTAAACTCCTGCAAGAACACACCCTGAATGGAATTAACCCCTTAGCAAGCACAGATAGAGTAGGCACTGCCTTATTTTTCTTCCTTCTCCAACGTAGCAAAGATGCACAACACTGTATCTGACCCAGCTGGGTGTTTTTTTTTTTAAAGGAAATGCTTTAGATTCTTGATTTTTATCTATATGAATAGGTCTTCTTCCTCATCCCCCAACTCCAACACATCTAAACACTTTGAGAACAAAACTCTCTTTAGTGTTACCATTGTGATGTAGAAAAGATGCACTCTCCTGGTGTTTCACTATCAGCTTGTTGAAGATTCCTGAGAAATGTGCCCTAGTCTCTTTTACGACAGACAATGTGGATGAAGGACTGTCTCTACCTGAAAGCATTTTGAAACACCTTATTACTAGAGGCAGTTGGACAATGATTCAAATGATAAAACAAAATGGAGATCAATTTTGTACCCCTTCTCTTACTCCTTCCCGTGTCTCACATCACTTCTCAGAGACTTGTTAAGACTTGTCTTCGTGAGCCGTGTATCAGTGCCCCCAGTGTTATTCTCC